CCACCATATCTTGATAACATGATTGTAAAATACAATTATCACTGTTTTTTTAATTTCACCCAATATATCAAAATTTTCTTTTTCCTTTCTAGTATAAGTGGAAATCTACCTAATTCACAATAAACTGCATCATTACTGGTGCTTTGTCTGACTTTTAAAACTCTTTTCCAATAAGTTAAGTGAACATTTTCTATATCTTGACCCTTGTGAAATCCCCATACTTCAGCTCCATAACTCATTACACTGTTAATATAGGTATCGAATACTGCTAATTGTGTTTCTACGTTAAAATGCAAATCCCTGGTTTTACAATTTACACCATACATAGCTTTTTTTTACCCTGACATGAAAAATGTTTCTGTGTTTCAGCAAATTTGCCATTATAATTGAACAACATAATGAATCAGAGAGCATAATGTGCGGAACAAGTTTGATTGAGATTTTTACTTTTCCTTTAAGATAAAATGAATAATAACATAATTTATGCATCTAATAGATACATATAAATGTACATGTATAGCTTTTTAAAAACAAGAATCTGTAATTGAAAATGTGAAAGTGAAGAGTTTAGGTAATAGTTCTTAACCAATTAAAATTTAACGACAGTTCATTCCTTCCTAGTCTCTATATAACTTTTAATTACGGCCGTGCCCTCTCCCCTTCAATTGATGTCTTATACATGCTTTTAAATTCTGTTATGTATCAAGAAATTTCCACAGGTACTTGTGGACAGGATCCCCCCCCCCCCAATTCAACCCCAATGTTTGTTGGACATTTTTTTCCACAAATTATATTTATTACACTTATTCATCATGTGTACCATAGGAAAAAATCGAGAACAATTACCTGTGGAAATTTCTATTTGCCCCCCCCCCCCCCAAAAAAACTGAAATTGTTTTCTACGGGCTTGACAACAGGTACTTGTGGACAGACCCCCCCCCCCCCCCCCCCGATATTCAACCCCGAGGCTTTTTGGACATCTTTTCCACAAATTATATTTATTGCACTTACTCATCATGTGTACCATATGAAAAAATCGTGAAAACCCCAAAATAATCGTTCCACACAAAAAATGCCTCACTATGTACAGTTAAAACATTAATTTTTCATATTTCTTGATGAAATTAACATTAAAAAATCAACACAAAATTAATACCGAATTACATATCACTTGAATTTATCATAAAGCAGAAAATCTGTTCTGCGGGCTTCAAGGCCAGCTCAGGAACCTAAAGATGTCCTCATTTTCCAAGTCCAGTACAAAACGTAAAATAAATGAAATAAATCACACAATCACTGGGATGGACTCAAAGAAAGAAGACTCTTGAGGAAAAGATATTTTGATTCGACTTATAGACTGAAATAAACCAATATTCTCTTTTTGCCACTCTTTCCTGGTGCCCTGGGACTCTGAATGTAGGATCAGTATTTTTTTTCACAGGTCCGTTGTGCGGATTGTACGGGGGGGGGGGGGGGGCAGACCTTCTGAAAATAGTCTTTTGCTGTAGTTTTAATATGTAAATTTTGATTTAGTTGCTGCTTGCCCCCTCCCCACTCTTTGTTTCTCTACGGTCATACATAGGCGAATCCCAGCAAAAATGTAATGACCCCCCCCCCCCCCCCAACACACACTTTTTTTAAATGTGTATTGCGATAGGACTTAAAATTGGAAAACATTTTCTGTATATCTCTACATCGAAAAATATAAAACAAATATTTTTTTTTATATTTCCTTTTTAAAACAACATAGATAATTATGCATAGCTAATTAAATACTGAATTAAATATTTATCTTTGCAGACAATATGCTCTGGGTTATAGAACATGATGTGAAAGCGTATCGTAATGCACCTTGTAATCCTTTGGATTTTCAGATTTAAGGCCAATGCGAAAACCCAAAGACGCCGACATTTTTTTATGCTACTGTAATCGAAGATCCGGGGGCATGCAGTTTTTGTCCTGTCGACCTGTCTATTTGTCTGTTAGACTGTGTTAGCCTCTTTGTCCACAAAAACTTTAACTATGCCCATAAAATTTGATTGGTTGGAACTACTGCTTTCATATTTCTTATGTGTATTCCTAGTAACAAGGACTTCCTTCAGGTACCAACATATTTGACCTCTTGACCTTGAACTTGGAGTTTGATCCTCTTTCGCAAAATTTTACCAAACTATAACCTTGGCCAAAACTTTTGAACAGTTGGTGCTATGGCTTTTATACTTCACATCTGTATCCCTTGTGATAAGTCTCCTCCTTGGGTATAAATATGTTTGACCATTTGACCTTGACCTTGGAGTTTGACCAACTTTTAAACAACTTTAGCCTTGACAATAACTTTTGAATGACTAGTACTAGGGGTTTTATATTACATAGGTAATTTTCTTGTGACAAGGCCTGTCATTGTATACCTATAATTTTGACCATTTTACCTTGACCTTTGAGTATGTCCTACTTTTGAAAAACTTTAACCTTGGTTTTAACTTTTGAACAGTTGGTGCTAAGGCTTTTTTAATACCACATGTGTATTCCTTGTAACAATTAAGACCTTCCCTCAAGTACAAACAATTATAATGATCCCTTGACCTTGGAGTTTGACCTTTTAAAGAAATTAACCTTGGCCATAACTTTTAAACTGTTGCTGCTGTGGCTTTCATACTAGTATATATTTCACAGTATATTCTTTGTTCAAGACCTTTATTTGGGTAATAACATTTTTTTTATCTTTTGATCTTGACCATGGAGTTTGACTTGCATTTGAGAAACTTTTAACTTTTGCCATAAGATGCCATATGGGGGCATCAGTGTTTCAAAAATCACACGTTGTTCAGTATCCAAATTGGGCATAAAACATTTACAATGATCCTTTAAAGCAGTGAGTTGAACCTAATAAATTACAACTATAGAAATTATGATAATTTATTTCGATGTATGGTCTAAAAAACGTTTATTATACCTCTGTGAAAACTAGCTTACAAGTGAAAAATCACTAGTAGAATTTGATTGGCCGAGAAAGTCACGTGTCCATCATGTTTGCCCTGCAACAAAACGTCGTGTTTCACGATTGTGACGTCACAATTAAACGAGTGAGGAGTTAGATTGTTTATAGCGACGCTGCTAACTTCGTTCGCGCGGTAACAACAACTAAAAATTTACCCCAAAAAATCACCTTAATTAATGGAATTGCATACAGATAGTAGATTAAACGTTCTTTGTTAAAATGTTTGCACTTTTCAAAATTCGTTTATGGAAATACAGCTAACATATGTCATGAGACGTCACAGTCTAGACGTTCCAAATGTCTCGTGCTGTTTGAAGAGGCGGATCTTAAAATTAAGTGAACAATGCACTCCCCCCAACGGTCGCACCGTCAACATATTATCGTTGATTGACTGTGTCGATTTAAATGTGTAAAAATGAAATAGTGGTGTTTGAATGTTACTGGTGTGATCACACAAACTTGTCACGTAGGATTTTTTTTAATGAAACGAGGAAGCAAATTCAGTTTGTTTGTTTTTTTTTTTGGGGGGGGGGGGACAGCCATACATTTTCAGTTGACAGTTGAGGGGGCACTACTTCCATAAATTTCCTGACAAGCAAAAAAAAGGTCACCAACTACCATAAATTCCTTGACAAGCAAAAAAAAAAAAAAAAAAAAGAAGGTTATCAACGTTTTTATTGAGGTGGCACAAGTTATAGTATCTATGTCTATGTCTACTATAGTAATCTATATATCGGCAAAATTATTGGGGGGTACGCCCCCACCCCCCGTGCCCCCCCTCCCCCGGTTCCTACGGCCATGTTGATTAAATTTAGGGTCACTAAGGAAAGAATGTTTTGACTGGATGAATGGTCTGAAAGAACATGTGTTAACTTGTCGAGTCGGTAACACATAGATGGGGTTTGCTTATAAACAGAGTGTGTCATGGTTTGATGCAAGGTCATTTGAACGAGTTCAAGGTCATCAACGGAGAAACAACATTCCTTAACTGTCTTTCTACTGGTGAGACATTGCAAGTTGATACCCCTTACAAGATTGCTTATAACCTTAGAATGTGGCATGACCTTGACTCAAGGTCACTTCTTCCTGTTCGCAGCTCCAACGGAAGACCTATTCGTTGCTTTGCAACGAGCTCTGCTCTAGTTCTCATGTGTATTTCTTCTGACAAAACTTTTCTTTGGGTACTAACATTCTGACCTCATAACTTTGACTTTGGAGTTGACCTACCGGGTACTTTTTAAAAACATTAACCTTGATAATAACTTCTGTTTTGTGCTAGACTTTTTATATTTGACTTGTGCATTTCTTGTAACAAGATCTTTCCTTGGATACCATTTTATATAACCCATGACCTTGAAGTTTGACCTTATTTTGCCTTAGGCCATTCCAAGTTTTTTCTATGTTTAGCGTCCGCGTGCGCCTTGGTTTTTGACACCACGTAGCAAGAAAAAACAAGCAAAACCAGAAGCCCTAAAATTGATTATTCTGGTCAAAATCTTTTAAATTCTTTTAATTATATCAATTTCTGTAAATATTTGTCTACAATATATCATATTATGTTTATTTTAAGCATTTAATACCTTGATTTTGTATAAGAATAGATCTTTCTTCGAGAAAATTAGATTAACGAAATCAAATGCTTTGAATGACGTCATTTTTAAGACTATAAAGTCTATGTTTTATATTTTGGCTTGTGTGTTTTTTGCGAATAGGTAGGTAAGTTTTGGAAAGATGGGTGGACGCTAAACAGAGAAAAAAACTTGGAAATGGCCTTAGCCTCTTTTACCTTGGCTATGAAGTGCTGTACGGGGGCATCAGTGTTTTCCATGAAATCAAAATTTAATTTCATAGATCTGGCAAAAGTATGTAACATTACAACTTAAGATTAATTGATGGTGCTGTCACTTTACCATCTTAATCACTGCATGAAAGAGAATGACAAAAATAATTTTGTGACATCTGTAAATCCTTCTCTAGCACTTACTTCTTTCTTTACCCCTAGTGGCAATGGTGGAATTGTAGTGGCACTCGTGTTTGGCTGCATAGCAGGTATTCTCATTATACTGGCGATTATAACCTTCGTCTGTGTAAAATTTTGTAAGACAACAAGACATGGTGCCGTGATAAACCCAGACGGAGGGAATTCAAGTAAGTAAATATATCTACAGGCACATGTATAGTGGTAATATATAGTGGTAATAAACACGGTATAAAATATAAATCTAATGGATGTATATAACTGTTATAGAATTAAGTATAGAATGAAATAATGAATACTGTAACTTACAGCACAAACTAGGAATATATTACACAAGATTATCCATAAAGCAATATAAGAATAATGAAAAAAAATTTAAGTTGAATCATTTATCCTTTAATTTCATTTTGGAAATATAGATAGTTTTCATATGACGTATTTTCTCTACGAGTTATTTCCCTTGGCCGCCATCTTGGTGGTCAACCTAGTAATTTTTTCTTTTTGTCTTACCAAATTTAAGAGGGTGTAGTAGAAATATTTTTGGGGGAGAATCTTTATAGAATAAATATTATGAAATAAAGGAGGATTCAACAAATGTATATATTTCAGAAAAACAATGCTTCCTAGCCCACAATTGCCAGTATAAAAAGTTAAAGTTGGAAGAATAATGAAGGAATATGACCAGTTGACCTCCAATATGGCGGCCAGCGGGAAATAACTCTTGCTAATTTAGGCCTACTCAAAACAATCTATAAAGAATGTTGGAAAAAATGAAAAAAAAAATCCTACCATTAAGACCAATGTAAATGATAACACATTTCTTATTTACAGATCAAGTGACGTTTTCTCAGGGATACACACACCGACCTCAGGTCTTTACCACTGGATACATGTATACCACTCCGACTGCTCCACCATACTCAGGGATTACCTCTCAAACCTTCGTCCAAACATCATCTGTCTTCCCAGGCCAGAGCTCGTCCACAGGAAATATACCACCACCACCATCTTATGATGAGGTTTTGTCCAATAACACCTCGCCACCAAAGTACTAGTGGAAACCAATTTGGAACATAAATAATGAGTTCTGGTTTACATATTGACAGTGTTATGGCTGCTGGGCAGCTTCCTGAAAAAGAACTATATTCTGTGTAATTCTGTATGAATGGTTGCATAAGTCACAGAGTTGTGCCATTTTTAATGTATGATATATAACTTGTATACATGTTTATTTCTTATAATTTAATATAAATTATTGTGTTCTTTAATAGGCATGAAAATTCTGTTATCACATTTTGCGATCGGTGTGTTCCCCGAACGTCCACTGGACTAAACCAACATCTAACTAGTTATAATTGTAACGGGGACCGTTACAGATGTTCCCCAAACGCTCCCCAACACCCTTTTGGTGTCTTATTTCCTGTAAGCTTCATTAAATAAGCCAATGAAGTATATTGATAGTTTTTTGCATTTCACACGCGCGCACGTGCATGCATGTGCAGGGTGACCATGTCATCTCATCTATACTATTAATGCATCTTTATATTCTCAGTATTAAAACATTTCATCAAAAAATAAATAAGTTCCAGCTATATCAAGTATATTGGTCATCTTAGCATTGCACGCACGCGCACCTGCATGCATGTTCATAATGACCATGCCATTTTGTTTACACTTATAATATGTCGGTTTATTCTTAGTATCAAAGCTTTTCATAAAAAAATATAAAAGTTATGGCTACATTAAGTATATTGGTCATTTAACACATTGCACGCGCGCGCATGTGCATTCATGAGCATGATGTCCACATCATCTTTTCTACACTTTTAATATATCTGTATATTCTTAATATCAAAGCTTTTCATAAAAAAATATAAAAATTACGGCTATATTAAGTATATTGGTCATTTAACACATTGCACGCGCGCGCACGTGCATGCATGCATGCATGCATGTGCACGATGACCATGTCGTCTTGTCTACACTTTTAATATATATAAAAATTTTGAGTATCAAAGCATCTCATCAAAAAGTATAAAAGTTACAAATATATCAAGTATATTTGTCATTTTACGCTTTGCGCGTGCGCACACGTGCATGCATGTGCATGTTGACCATGTCATCTTGTTTACACTTTTAATATATCCTTATATTCTGAGTATCAAAGCATTTCATCAAAAAATATAAAAGTTACAGCTATATCAAGTATATTGGTCATTTTACGCATTGCACGCGCACGCACGTGCATGCACGTGCGCTCAAAATGACCTTGATTCCGCAAATCTACATAACATGCCTATTAACCCTAAAAAGGTTTCACCTCAATCGGATGAGTAGTTGACGAGATCACTCGCGGACAAGAAAGTACCCAGGAAGAAGAAGAAGAAGAAAAATAACTAGACTCTTGTTGCCATGGCAACAAAAAAGTCTTCCGTTCTTCTAAATCTGTAAGAATTTGCTTTTTTCTGTGTCAAAAACATACATATCATATTAACTGTGAAAGAAAAAATAACTGGAAAAAAGTCCTTTCAGTACTTATGGTACTTTGATTTTCATGATCAATCTTGTATAATGCATTTGGCACCTATGAGAGATATACGTATATCATAGAGCAAGGATGATTAGCAATTTAAAAAAATTGTTTGCAATCATTTCTAAGACAAACAGACGAACGAACACCGTACTATCAGCTATCAAGATTTGACAGCATACCTATAAGAAAGATTATTCAATAACAGTAATTATTAAGCAATCGATTAATTGATTGATTTATTATATGTTGTTTACGTCCCTGTCGAGAAGTTTTCACTCACATGGAGACGCCACCGCTCGCCGGAGTATACTTATACTTTGGCAATTATCACCATTGAGCAGTGAATAATCTTTTTTGTGCCAGCACCTTCTGCGACACGGGACCTCGATTTATACGATCTCATCCCAAGGACCGGTCTCCGCGTCCCACAATCGAAGTTTATTATACCGCGATATTTTATTTTATTTTATTTTTTCACAAGTTTGTTGCATCAGATGTACTTAAAGATCATACTTCAAGATCATTTCGAACTCAGGCTACTTTTTTGCAGTGCATACAGCGTCAGGTTATTTTGATGGACAGGTCAACACACGTGCACTTCGTGTAATACTTTTTAAGCAGAAAAATATACAGGATGTGACCATGACTGACTATGAAATCAAAAAACATTTAATAAAGAATGGGTGTCACTGATATAGAACTAATTTTTGGTCTATGTAAATGGAAAGGAGGATCGGGATTAAGAGGGAATCTCTCTCTCTCTCTCTCTCTCTCTCTCTCTCTCTCTCTCTCTCTCTCTCTCTCTCTCTTCCTCTCTCTCTCTCTCAGACATGTAAATTGAACATTTCAGTATCATAATGACAAATCTACCATTATAGAATATGAAATTCTGTATACATGTAAATGTATTTATAACCACATGTTCCAGATTTAAATCTAAAACGATTATATAATTCAAATGCCTAGCTGCACTAACATCTCCAAATATTAATCAAGACCGGGGGGGGGGGGGGCGGCTTCAAAGGAATTAGATAGTTTTATGTTTTATGAATTATAAGGAAAAGTACAGGTCAGTTGCATGTACAATGTACATAATTATATATAATTGCATAAAATTGTGTTCATTCAGGTATACTCATCCCACATATCAACAGACCTGTGCAATTTTTTTATCATGTTTTTTTTTTTCAAAAGAAAGATATTGCGAAGCATTATTTCACACAGAATCGCGTTTTCACATATTTTTTTAACTCTTTGAGTATTTCACAAGAATCCAAGAATCGCCTTTCACATCTTTTATAACTCCTTGGGTATATAGAGTATAGATCATGTGTCATAAATAATTTAACTTTTTATCAAATATACATGTAATAACCAAATCTAATCTATAGATTGATTTTCTTTCTTTTCAGTGGCAGATATCAATTTATTTATAAAGGCTTTAAAACAGTACTGTATTACAATTTTCTATCGCTTAATTCCTTTTTTGAGTGTATGTAATATTTTTTAATATCGGAAATAAAACTCGGAAATCGGGATAATTTCGCATTCAAATCATAGAGAATAATAAATCGTCTGCATTATAGAAAGCTTATAACTATCGTATTCTGAACTTAGTATACGAGATAGATAAAATTGCATGCCTGTCCATCACTATAAATGTATATTCAGTGCTTATAATATATTTAATTGAATTAGCTACCTATAGCTAGCATATATATTAATTTTTGTTTTAGATATATTCATGTGTAAATCAATTAACTGTCAAAACAGACTTACACTCCACTGGCAACTTCAAACTTTACATGCACTGGAAGCGGTAATCAACGCACTCTTACATTTAGAAGATTGAATATGGAACGTCTAAATATTTTGATATGGAGAGTGTATATGTCTCTGACGTCATCGATACTATTTCCGCCTTTATCTCGAAAGTTCTATTCTCACTTACAAGTCAGAGTTATCTTTCTTTGCCCACTGTATACACACTAGGTAAATAGGGAAAATGAGGGTACCGAAAATCTGCAAAATGTGGAATCTGATTTCAAAACAAATTATATATTTAGTATTTGTAGAATAACCTCTGTTATACATAATAATATCTTGAAAAAATATTAAAATACAAAAAAGTTAAAAATTGACCTAACACAAGTTCACTTCCGGTTCGGACAGGAAGTACCGGAAACACACGAAAACAACTTCGAAACAAAGAGAATGTCATGATCTAATATTCCTGTAAATTTCACATCTTTACCTCAAACCGTTTCTGAGAAAAACACCGGACAAAAGTCCATTTTAAAATTGGAAATTCGGCCATAACTTCGGACCGGAAGTGAATTTTTCAAAAAACGGAATTTTATATAAACTTCATATATCAGCCTACTATCGTGTGAAAAATTGTGAAAATCTATCCAACCATCTCTGAGTAATCGCGCTCACAAAATTTGGGAGGAATAATAATAATAATAACTAGACTCTTGTTGCCATGGCAACAAAAAAGTCTTCCGTTCTTCTAAATCTGTAAGAATTTGCTTTTTTCTGTGTAAAAAACATACATATCATATTTACTGTGAAAGAAAAAAATAACTGGAAAAAAAGTCCTTTCAGTACTTAAGGTACTTTGATTTTCATTATCAATCTTGTATAATGCATTTGGCACCTATAAGAGATATACGTAATATATCATTAGCAATTAAAAAAAATTGTTTGCAATCATTTCTAAGACAAACAAACAGACGAACACCGTACTATCATAAACTTCACTGTGTGTATGTTTTGGCATAATTGTGTATGGTGTTATAAAAAAAAAATATAATGAATTAAGTTAGTATCACATTAACCTAAAGTATCTGAGTTTTGTAAAGTTATAATATCAAGATTTGACAGCAGACCTATAAGACAGATTATTCAATTACAGTAATTCTTCAGCAATCGATTGATTGATTATACGTATGTTGTTTAACGTCCCTCTCCAGAATTTTTCACTCACATGGAGACGCCACCACTCTCCGGTGGAGACTGCAAATTTTTGTCCCATACTTTGGCACTTATCGCAATTGAGCAGAGGGGAATCTTTTTTATGCCAGCACCTTCTGCAAAAAGGGACCTCGATTTATACGATCTCATCCAAAGGACCGGTCTCCACGTCCCACAATCAAAGTTCATAATACCGAGATATTTTATTTTTTATTTTATTCTATTTTTTCACAAGTTTGTTGCATCAGATTTACTTAAGATCATACTTCAAGATCATTTCGAACTCAGGCTACGTAATTGCAGTGCATACAGCGTCAAGTGATTTTGATTGACAGGTCAACACAGGTGCACTTCGTGTGATACTTTTTAAGCTGAAAAATATACAGGATGTGACCATGACTGACTATGAAATCAGAAAACATTTAATTAAGAATGGGCGTGACCGATATAGAACTAATTTTTGCTCTATGTAAATGGATAGGAGGATCGGGATTAAGAGGGAATCTCTCTCTCTCCCCCCTCTCTCTCTCAGACGTAAATTCAACATTTCATAATGACAAATCTACCATTATAGAATATGAAATTCTGTATACATGTAAATGGTAATTATATTCACATGTTACAGATTTAAATCTAAAACGAATATATAATTCAAATGCCTAGCTGCACGAACGTCTCCAAATATTAATCAAGACGGGGGTGGGGTGGGGGTGGGGGGGGGGGAGTCTTCAAAGGAATTAGATAGTTTTATGTTTTATGAATTATAAGGAAAAGTACGGACGTCAGTTGCATGTAAATAATTATATAT